GCATGGACGCATTCGTGCAAGTATGAGCCAAAACAGTACGAACAAGTCAGACGTGAATTCGAAATTTGCCATATTGTGCAGATCTCGGAAGCTCGTGGACTGAGATGTTTCCAGGACTGGAAACAACGTTACATTATCACTCACGGATATAATATCTGTGAATCCGTTGGTAGTTGGACGGCATATATAATAGCGGAACCTTGGGGTGGTTTACTCTATAACGACATTAATGAATGTCGCGCGCTTTATATTGGAGATACCCCTAAGAAAAGTTGTACTCGCTCCAAATAGTGTTCTCTATACTAATGTTAGCTTGCCAGCACTTGGCAGAATTATTGGATAACTTAGTATTTTTTTTTCGTAATTCACATGCTCTTCTGCCGTCGCTCGTACTCATCTATCTATTTTTGCAGCTACCAGTTTACTGTAACAAAGTTACTTCGATGTGGTAGTTACGAAGTCCAAACTACAAGTGTTTACTGCTTCCACGTCTCGACGAAACTGCAGGTTTACATGCGCGATGGCCAGGATGGGTTGAAGCGTAGTAGATAATGGTATCTACTTGAATCTTGTACTTAAGCTTGGTATAGGACAACAAACTTCATAACTTGTGGAACCATTAAGTTCTTTTTGACAGAGGTCCTGGGTGAAGTTATCGTACCGTAGTTGTTTCCTCATTTTTTTCCAGCTACATGTTAGTCCGGTGATGCTGACAAATGACATCGATTTTTGCATGCAACTACTTGAATTGGTATCATACGGTTCGGGCTTGCAGCACATTGTTCTGTTGTACTTACACTTCGCAGAGCAGCAAAAAGGTAACGACTGCATACTACTATGTCGGCTTGACGTGCTGTAAAGTCGACGAGCTCGGGCCTGTGAAAGCGTTACCACCATGAAAAAGGAAAATTATCAAGCGCATCGGCGATTTGACCTCATAATACGCATTTTTCTCTTAAATTTCGAGCGAAACCAAGATGGCCATACTCTCAAATTACTTTTGCAGAGTGGAATACGACGAAAACGGGTTTTATAAAAGCGTGGGCGGCTTATTACTCAGGTAGAACAGGTATATTGTCAATACTCCGACTTTGAAACACATGTGCAAATCTCTTGAAGAGCCGTGGACTCTTAGTTCCTCCAAACCGCGTATGTTTTTGATGTTTTTGCGAGGCTAACAACCCCGATTGTAGAGATTAGTAACCGCATTGGAGATGGGTGACTCGATACCGCAATGGATACTACTTTCTACTTTAATCTTCAGCTTCATGAAGGCCAACAGAATTTGCAGAAGCAAATAACAGCCTAAAGGCACAGGGTAACAGCTTGTCGTTGATGCTAGACTATCCTGCCATTGCTCCTTCTAATTTTTTTGTGCTGCTACATGTACTAGTTAATTCTCTGCATTTTATATCCGGAGTTTTACGATGCTGGCCCAACACTACTCTAACTACTTATAATCTGAGCCCAAAATATAACCGGATGTGAATTTTCGCTTACGGATAACTTCTTACAAATCCGAAGGATCAGCAAAGCAGTACCAGCCTACAGATCTCTGGTAACTTGAGGGATACCACTCACGCTGCGGGATAATGTCGCGAATAGTGGTCCAACTGCTTTAGTTTAATTTGTCTATCAATCGCCACGTGAACCTCATAGTGATGGAGCGCATCAGTAAATGAATTGATAGAGGGTTTTTGAAAAGAACATTCAAGTAAAGTTGATCTTGGACGTTCAGTTGATGATCATAATCGGATTCAAACGCGCCTAATAGCAGCTGGCTATGAGCATAGCATCGGTTTTTTTTTTTTTTTTTTTTTTGATAAAAATGCGTCCCGAATAGCTAGACCTCTGCACAGCCTAGTTAGCTACATGCTGGTGGAATTAATAATTTGATATTGAGATTAGGAAGTTTGATAGCGATCTACTAGAGGTAAATTATGTGGGCTGGAAAGCAATGCCACTTCGACATATACTTTAGTCACGTACAGTACGAGAAAGAATGATCGTGGCGATAAAAACTACGATTGTAGAGGTGCCCGCAGCCATACACCGCGATTGACTTCATCAACCAAGCCGACACGGCAGTATACAATCCCAACCATTTGTGCTGATCCGCTAAGTACGCCACAACAACGTGTTGCTAACCGTGTACCGCATGCTCCAACTCGAGTAGTAGCAGTGCTACAGTAGCCCACAAAGATCGAAGGCATTTGTCAGCAATGCTAGATTTGCTAATACGTGTAGAAATGACGACGCTGTCGTCATTTCTGCAAAGATCTCTCAAACGATCACAATAGATAACAGTCGCAAAAAGTCTGTCTTTACGTATGATGCACAGTTTCGTGAACATTCGAGTTAAACACGAAGTCGTAATAATTATCTTGAAAAATAAGTTCTTTTAGAAGGGAGATGCTAATACTTCGCACTTCACTTGTATTTTTTTTCTCAATAAATCGAGCTTCCGAGATCTGCACAATATGGCAAATTTCGAATTCACGTCTGACTTGTTCGTACTGTTTTGGCTCATACTTGCACGAATGCGTCCATGC